GTGTAGACCCTGATTTAGGCACTAAAAGGCTTCAGGAATCACAAGTATGGTGGACTGACATACTAAGGCTAGATGTTAACAGAGAAACTAATGGAGCTCCAGAGCTGAATTATATATATATTTATTGCCAAATGCAACAGCAACTTGATATACTATAAGTATTTTCTACAAATTCCTACTGTTATTTTTAATCCATCTTTAATGAATAGTTGCATACAATAATTTAGATGCTTTTTATGCAATTTCTTATTATTTTAACTACATTTTGATCTATGAAGGATGACATTATTTTTTGGGAAGAAAGCTTCAGGATTCACTTCACCTTCCCAAAGACCAAATGATATGTCCACCTGTTATTACCGGTAGTAGTTCTGAAGAATATGTACAGTTTATTAGAGTTCGTGTTCTCTGAGAAGATATATCCGTTTTAGAAATAAATATAATATAAATTCTATTGTTCCTAGAGGTAAACAATAAATAAATAAATAAATAAATAAATAAATAATTTTATTTCTATACCGCCCTTCTCCCGAAGGACTCAGGGCGGTGTACAGCCTATTAAAAGCACAAAGACAGACATCAATTTAAAAATAATTAGAATTATTAAATAATTTCGGCTCAGATTTAAAACTCCAAAAATTTAAAACACCCAATTTAAAATCATTACATTGATAGCCCGGCCTGGCGGAATAGCAGGGTCTTGAGGGCACAGCGAAATACACAGAGGTCGGAGGTCTTACACATTTCCGGGGGCAGTTCATTCCACAGTGCAGGGGCTCACACAGAGAAGGCCCTCCCCCTGGGTGTCACCAGCCGACATAACTTGGCTGATGGCACCTTGAGGAGACCCTTTCTGTGGGAGCGGATTGGCCAGTGGGAGGCTATTGGTGGCAGAAGTCGGTCTTGAAGGTACCCAGGTCCTATGCCATGGAGCGCTTTAAAGGTGGTGACCAACACCTTGAATCGCACCCGGAAGACCACTGGGAGCCAGTGCAGCTCGCGCAGGAGGGGTGTCACATGGGCACAACGGGTTGCGCCCATAACGACCCGCGGGGCCGCATTCTGGACCAGTTGGAGCCTCTGAGTGCTCTTCAAGGGGAACCCCATGTAGAGACCATTACAATAGTCCAGCCAGGAGGTGACAAGGGCATGAGTGACCATGCGCAAGGTGTCCCGGTCCAGAAAGGGCTGCCACTGGTGAATCAGGCGAACCTGATAAAAAGCCCCCCTGGCCACGGCCGTCATGTGCTCTTCTAAAGACAGTCATGCGTCCAGGAGGACACCCAGATTGCGGGGGGGGGCAGAGATTCACCCCCAATAGTCACCGATGGCACTAGCTGACACTATCGGGATGCCAGAAGCCACAGCCACTCGGTCTTGGAAGGGTTGAGTCTGAGCCTATTTCTCCTCTTCCAGACCTGCACAGCCTCCAGGCAGCGAGGCATCACATCAAGGGCATCGTTGGGGTGGTCTGGGGTGGAGATGTACAGCTAAGTATCATCAGCGTACTGATGGACTCTCACCCCAAAACCACGGATGATCTCACCCAGCGGCTTCACATAAATGTTGAACAGAAGGGGCGAGAGGACCGACCCTTGTGGCACTCCCCATGTGAGGCACCTCGAGGTCGACCTCTGCCCCCCTGCCAACACAAACTGTGAACGGTCGGAGAGGAAGGAGGAGAACTACCGCAGGACGGTGCCCCCTATTCCTAACCCCCTCAACTGTTGCAGCATGATACCATGGTCGATGGTATCAAAAGCCGCTGACAGATCTAATAGGACCAGGACAGAGGAACAACCCCTGTCCCGAGCCCTCCAGAGATCATCCACCAACGCGATCAATGCCGTTTCTGTGCTGTACCCCTGCCTGAAGCCCGACTGGTATGGGTCCAGATAGATAGCTTCATCCAGGTGCTGGGGAAGCTGTCGTGCCACCACACTCTCAACAACCTTCGCCACAAAACGAAGGTTGGAGACCGGATGGTAGTTAGCTAATTCAGCCAGGTCCAGGGAAGGCTTCTTGAGGAGGGACCTCACCACCGCCTCTTTCAAGGCGGCGGGAAAGGCACCCTCACTCAAAGAAGCACTTATAATCCCCTGGAGCCAGCCTCGTGTAACCTCCCAGAGGCCAGTACCAACCAGGAGAGACACGGGTCCAATAAACATGTGGCGGCACTAATCTTACCCAGAACCCTGCCCACATCCTCGGGAGCCACAGGATCAAACTCCTCCCAGATAATATTCTCAAGACCTACCCTCGTCTCCTCCCCTGGACTCATCCAGTCGGAGTCCAAGCCTTCCCGAATCCGAGCAACTTTATCATGCAGGAATTGCACAAAATCCTCAGCTCGACCCTGCAAGGGATTTTCCTGCACTCCCCCCGAAGAAGGGAGTGGGTCACCCTAAACAGAGCGGCTGGGCGGTTCTCTGCAGATGCGATAAGAGCGTAAAAATGGTTAGATTTCGCCGCTTTTATCACCACTAGGTAGGTCTTGATATAAGACCTCACCAGTGTCCATTCAGAATCGGATTGACTAGTTCTCCAGATGCTCTCTAGGCGTCTTTTCCGACACTTCATCTCTCTCAGCTCCTCGGAGAACCAAGGAGCATTTCATTCAATGTGTTCCACCTAAAAGAGACAGGAAACATTATGTGAATTATTGAAATGCACACTACATGGGACTACCTTTAAAATCGCTGTGAAACTGCAGCTGACCCACAGTTCTTCGTGTGGACATTTTTAGCTGTACCTCAGTACACCTGTGTAACATCTCTGCTGCATGAACTGGGATGGTTAACAGTAAGCTTCAAGGAGTAGTAAGGTTCTGGTTGTAAATTATAAAGTCCTTCTTAACCATAGGGCATGGTTGTTCCAATGCCTTTCTCATTTTTTTTTTGACCATCCATTAAAAGTGAGCATGTTCCAGATCCCATGTTCAGAGAAATGCCTTCTGATAGTCCTCCATCTCTGTTGCAATGCCTCCAGAATAGTATCTCTCAAGAAATTCAGATTGTTCTGACTCTGTCATCCTTTAAACAAGCCTTGAAGATCTAGCTCTTTCTTTAGAAGTACATGTCTGGGTTAGGAACTATATGTTTTGAAGGGATATTTTTTTAAAGCTGAACCTATTAGTCCCTAGCAATAGCCTTCTTTTTATTTATTTTATTGTTTATTTTATTGGTTCGATTTATATGCCGCCCTTCTCCAGAGATTCAGGGCGGTTTACAATGTGTCAAGCAATAGCCTTCATACTTTTGTATATACCTGCTTAGTAGGGCTTTTGGGCCCCCCAAGCGGTGTTCTTTTTTATACAAAGTCAGCTTATTGCCCCCACAATCCGGGTCCTTTTGATTTTATTATATAGGATATGTGTTTAACTTGTATGTTACTCTAAGTTTTTATGAGCCGGGCAGCCTATAAATATGATTTCAAAGAAAGAAACAAATAAGTCAGGTGGATAGCCTTTAGGATACTGTTTCTATAGAAACAGTAATACAGTGAAGCACCGCACCAGATGACTTCCCATTTTGTGTTGGAAAGAACTAACGCTTAGGGCTAAATCACATGTTTCACATGCAACAGATCCTCGATTCACTTTATTAATGTTCCAGAAAAAGTTGAAAAAAATAGTACTTGAAAGCACAGATCATTATACTATTTTCTACAGTGTACCTAATTCTTTGGTATTTATATTTCTTTAAATTGTGAAACAATAATTAAAAAGTTGCATTTAATATCTTCTGTATGTTTTGGTTAATTATTCTGTCTCATTTTCTTGCTAAAATCTTTGGTCATGGCATGCATAGTGATTACCTATAGGTCTCATTTTAGCTTGGTATCACATAAAATTTTAATAAGTTTACTGCCTCAAAATTTCTCTGACTTAAAGTTTATTTTGTGGAACAACAACCAGATATAAAAGAATATCAAATATTATCAGCCCCCCTCCCCCCACACACACTTTCCATTGGTATTTGGAATATCTAATCTATATTAATTGTTTTTGTCCAAATGGATTGTATTCTTTTTCTTTAATGATAAGAAAGTTTAAGTTCTGGTTTTATTATTTGTTTTTCTTAGCTGCATTGGAATAGCTTTGTTATGGCCTGTGAAATGCTATCAGGTTTAAGATGCATAGGCAACTTATAAGAAAAACATTAGGGGAAAGAATGATTATTTTCTGTATAAAAATAGTACCCTAATAATTATGTGAACTATTCTTCTTTAAGGATATTGAAATAGATGTAAGTAAATTATAGCATTAAAGAAGGCAAACGTCTGCCATGAGTCATGCTGACCAGCAGAGTTGGCTACTGATAAAAAAATTGGCTTGGCTGCAATTTATAGAGCTATTCTAATCCTATTAATTATATAGAAGAACAATCAAATGCATATGTTTAAGGTAGAAGATACAGTATGTGGATGTAGAGACATAAATGTATGATATGTAGAAAGCAGAATATAGATAGTATATTTATTATAACTCTAAAATAGAACTGGATTTATGCCATAATCCCAAAGTCTTGTGTGCTTGATTGTTTCTAGAAATATATATATATATATATATCTAAATTAGAATTATTATGTTGCAAATGTTCTAGATCTTAGAAAAGGGCAAGTTCATAAATGCTGCATGCTAAAATATAAAAGGGATTAGTAACATTGATTAGATATATATTTGATAGTATTAGGTCCTTGTATCTGATTTATATTGATATTGACAAAATATTCAGAGAAATTCAGCCAATTGTCACTTGTACTTAGAAGCTCATTCTTGATTACTTTTTAGTTGACTTAGATTCTATTAGACCGTAATAGCTGTCAATATTTTGGAGACAGAAATATTTATGACAAATTTACTATTTATAATAGTATAAATGAAAATCATGAAAAATCATCATTCTTGAAGTGCTATTTAAGACAATAAATAACTGTTGGAATACCATATGTTATATTACAACCAACCCAGTTTAACTATTATTTTGATTACATTCCAGAACAGACAGGAATCAAACTCTCCAAGTGATGGATTTGCACCTCTCAATGTTCTAGAGTTGACTACAAGAGGTATGGAATATAAATACTTGCTTTATTTACGGTATGTAATTGCCTTTCTTTGCTCAGAAATGTAACAGCATTTTCTGCTGTTACATTCAGAAAATTTTTTAAAAATGTAAACATGTTTTTGATCCAGGACTCTCATTTCATTCAACATTGACTGACACTTCTCTTCTGTATTGAATGTTATTAATTCACCCATCCCAAAATCAAGTTATCTAGTTTCATAATTTTTTAGTTGCCTCAGGTATATTTATTATATAATAACAACTAGTTGAATGCAGTTGATAGAAAGGGTGATTCCTAACTGTGAAGAAATGCTCTATGTGCCTCTAATTTTTTAAATTGATTTATTGTGATGTTGATTCATTGCTGCAGCTCATCACACAGAGTGACATGGGATTAATTGTATTATATCACTGGTACTTACTTACTGGTAGAATAGCTCATAGGCCTATAAATTCCTCAAATACGATTGTTGGATTCCTACATAAATAACATCCTTGGGGAAACAAGGGCATTTAATTGTATATGCATTTCACAAATAAAAACATCATATTAGATGTGTGTCTTGCTTTATTTGGCATTGGGGATCTTTTTTGAAACTGTGTTAATCAGAGATATTATTTGACTATCAAAGAACATTCTTTATACTTACTGTTTTATAATCCTGTTTAACAATACACAATACAACAGTTTTATATAATTGACATCAAAGATATTTTTATATTGATAAAGCAACTGGCATGGGTTATGAATATGGATTCTTTAATATACAGTTTAAAAAATTGAGATATTAATAATAAATTGTTTAGATTATTATTGAATCCAGTATGAACACTATTGTTTCTAATTCTAAGGAATTATATCAAGTTGCTTATCATATCACTAGAAACGTATTGTCTTTGATAATGGATCATAACATACTTTACAATGCTGGATATCATTCCATATGCAGCTTAGGTACCATGCAGTGAGTCTCTCCCTTCCACTGTCCTGCCATCAAATATAGATATTCTCAATATGTGGGCAATAAGTGGTTTTAAATATCACATACCATACAGGATTAGTTGCCATGGAGAGACCATTTTCAGGAGCTGCTAATTATGGCAACTGCATTTGAATTCTACTGTTTGTTAAACATGTCCTCCTCAAGATTTACACATGCACAAATTAGATGCAAAGTGAAAATTATTTGTTCAAAATTTTAATAAACAGTATTTTTTGCTCCAACCCTCCCCCCCCCTTTTTAGGTTTCTCTCTTGCTAATTTATCTTTTGTCTTTCTTCCTGCTGTTTTTATTTTATTTTAATTGCATTTTCACCTGATTTTGATACAGCTATATTTTAAAAGCTGTTATAGTTTTCTGTATCTTTATATAATATGCTTCAAAAGCAGTTGTACAAATTGCTAATTGTTTAAATAAATAAAAACTAAATAAAAAATTCATTGCATTAGAAATATTTCATACACAATATTTTGTCTTAAATTAAATGTGCTTAACGATTATATTAATTGTTAAAATGTAGCATTTTATTCTTCTGAATAACAAAGTCTATCTTGAGTCAAGTTGGTGACCATAGATGCCCAGGAAACAATGGGAGGGGGAGGGAAAGAAGGGAGAATTGAAAAATTCTGCCCCGATGTACGTGCCAGAAGTATTTTAATTCAATTATGAAAAAGGGAACTTTGTGTTGTGATGTTGCAATGTACATTTGATCATTTTGGTACTGTGGTTCATTAATGGATTCTTATGCTGATGATAACTGGGTTAGATACATGTTGCTTTCTTGGCAACAATATAAAAATATAAAAGTGGTTTCTCATTGTTTTTATCTGGATGTTTTTGTTTCTTTGTCTGTTTTTTTATTTTGAGTTTAGTTTACTGTCTTGAGATTTCCTGATAAATTCCTGTCCAAACCTTACATTTTTAAGCTTGCTTATATAGATATATAGATATACATGCCGGAAATGATATGAATACTTTAAAACATGATATGTTTCATGGCAATACACAACAAAGGAGGTTTTTAAGATGTTGCCAGGCGACTCAATGTAACAAAGAATCTTGTCAAAATATTGAAAATTTAAGGAACAGCTTAAAAAACAAGATTACACTTTGTTCTAAATAAGTGATTTATTTTGTCAGAAAAGTTCCATTAACAAAATAGGTTTGCTTTTGCCTTCTTTTAAAGACAATATCTATTCTGGACTCGGTAGCATGCAGTGGTTTGGACAAGATTCCCACTAAATACAATAATAATTGGGAGACAATGGATGCTTTCACTTACTGAAAGTGCTAGTTACTTGGATACAGAAATATCATGTGTCACTTTTGTTGAGGGTAAAACTGCCCTCTGCAAAATGGAGCAACGGACCAGATAGCGAATAGATACGTTGCTTAGCAAAACACACAGATACTCACAGATTCTGAACGTTTAAAGAAAACTAAACAGTCTTTACTTGTAGTAAGAAAAACAAACTTGGCTTCTCAAAACAAAGATAACACTTCTTCAAATAATCACGGTTCAACACAAAAACATAGTTTGCTTACAATTCCAGTTCTCTTCAGTAACACAGACACAGTTCCTTTCAGCAGTTCAACCTTCTAATAGCAGGAGCAGAAGTGAATGAACTTCCTGCCTTCTTTTATGTCTGCTTAGCACAGCCAATTAGTCATCTTGTAGCAGTTAAAGTTACAGAACATAGTTTTCTATATATTACCTACCCAACTGTAGGATAAGCTTCCAACAACTTTTATATGTATTGCCTTAATTATTCTGTAAAGGTAGGCATAATAAAGATGTAATTTGTATACAATTTTTATTGGTAAAATTGAGACTTAGTCCTAACTATGAGACTACTACTTATACTAATCTTTCTAGTATAATATACTTACTAATTTATTTCTTCTTTTTTTAATGGAGATATTTTCCATGATCAGGGACATAACTATTTTTCCTGTTAAGAAAGTATACACAAATGAATACAAGAAAGCAAATGGGAAATAAATAGTTTGGCCTTTTGTCCACAGAGCCGGAGTGGTGCAGTGGTTAGAGTGCAGTACTGCAGTCTACTTCTGCTGATCACCGGCTGCCAGCAGTTTGGCAGATCGAATCTCACCAGGTTCAAGGTTGAGTCAGCCTTCCATCCTTCTGAGGTGGACAAAATGAGGACTCAGATTGTTGGGGCAATATGATGACTCTGTAAATTGCTTAGAGAGGGCTATAAAGCACTGTGACACAATATATAGGTCTAAGTGCTATTGCTATTGCTATTTTGGAAGATTTCCTTTTTGGGGCCTTCAGAGGGCCACATGGATTCTGAATTTCCAAGAATGACTAAGTCAGAGTTTAGGAAAAAAAAATAAAAGTATATGGCCAACTGGTTTTTGCATATAGGCATTTAATTTTGTAAATTTTATATTTCATGTTAATATTTGTTGATTTCCTGATGGAATCACACATCTGTCTAAAAGTTATAATTCCAAATAGAGATTTAAAAGCTGAAAAGTTCTATAGGCTCAGATCTGATTTTAAGTAATTACTAACACAAGCTTGTTATATTGTTCAAAAGCAGCTGCCAGGCCTAAAGTTCTTGCAAAGCCCCTTTCAAGATGTTAGACTGTATAAAATTACATTGATGTGGCAGCTGCTAATTTAGTGCTGTGTAGAAAGTCTTTCCCATCTGTTCACCCTTGCAAGTTTTAAAAGGTTTCTTTTTTCTTTGCATGTCATCTCTTTCCCCATTTTGTGTATATTTTCTTTAAATTATTTTTATGCATGTGTTTTGCTTTTTAGGTTTAAATGACAAGTCTTAAATACTGGACTATACTTTATAATTACAAATGTGAATGTTTTTTATTTAAATTAAATAGAATGATTAATATGAGGATGAAGAGTTGTACATGCATTGTTTTTCTAGAACTAACTTATTTCGGTGACTTAAATGTGATCCTGAGAGACCTTTAAAAGTTATCAAGTCAAAAATTTTAATGGGACAGAAAGAGAAATTGATTACAAAAGACTTGGATAATTGTTATATAATTATAGTTATTTTTTTATTAAAATATATATGGAAGGAAATTGAATACAACTTTTGGATGCCCCTAATCTCATATTATTCAGAGAAGAAAGGTGCCCCTGGCTTAGAAAAAATATTGTGTAATCCTAATCTGAACAATCATTTTAAATTATTAATCAATTTATATTTGTTGTGAGATAATAGTTTTAGAAAGGGACGCGGTGGTTCAGTGGCTAAGACACTGAGCTTGTCAATCGAAAGGTCAGCAGTTCAGTGGTTCAAATCCATAGTGCCACGTAATGGGGTGAGCTCCCATTACTTGTCCCAGCTTCTGCCAACCTAGCAGTATGAAAGCACATAGAAAAAATAGGGACCACCTTTGGTGGGAAGGTAACAGTGTTCCGTGCACCTTTGGCATTTAGTCATGCCGGCCTCATGAACACGGAGATGTTTTCAGACAGCGCTGGCCCTTCGGCTTTGAAATGGAGATGAGCACCGCCCCTTAGGGTCGGGAACAACTACCACATATGTGCAAGGGGGAACCTTTACCTTTACCTTTAATAGTTTTAGAAAATTGTTTCCATAAAATAATAATTTGAACTTTACTACCCAAATAAAAAATAAATCATATTTCTAAAGTTTGTCCAGACAGTTGTCACAATTTACATCATTAGCACAATTATATAATTATTCCAGTGACACAAATCAGTATAATAAAGTTAATTATATAACTATGCTATCAATTATGTAAATTAAAATTTAACAGTCATTCAGCTCATGGTTGTTCCAAAGGTGCTTTTTCAAGAGGCAACTAGACTTTATGATTTTTCTTTGAAGACATTTCACTTCTCATCCAGAGCTAAAGAAGCTTCTTGGATGAGAAGCGAAACGTCTTCAAAGAAAAAAGTCCAGTTGCCTCTTGAAAAGCCCCCTATATGACAACAGTCATTCTGATTTAACAGACACCTTTTGTCTCAAAATGTCTG